CTCGCTCTCGCTCGCCCTCTCTCTCGCTCTCTCTCTCTCTCTCTCTCTCTGTGTGTGTGTGTGTGTGTGTGTGTGTGTGTGTGTGTGTGATGGATGCCTGTGCACAGGCACGTAGAGGCCAGAGGTTAACATAGAGTGTCTCCCTCACTTGCTCTCCATCTTATTTTTAAATAAAGTTCACTGAACTTGAAGTTCCGATTCAGCTAGACTGGCTAGCCAGGATATTCCTCACCTCTCCAAAACTGGGTTACAGGCACATGCCCTTTCATCTGGCTTTTTTGCATAAGTGCTAAGGATCCGAACTTGGGTCCTCTGCTTACTTTCCTAGCTGAGCAATTTCCTCATCCCCTTGTATAATGGTTTCCTTAACTCTTGCAACAACTCCATGTGTCCCTGCTCTACCTACAGATGTAAAGAAATTTGGATTAATAGTAGAAGGAGTAAAATATATGTGAGGTGGGGGCTGGACTGTGACCTTAAAGAACATCCCTCCCAGGCCTCTTCTAGAGTCCTAGAGCATCTGGTGGAGAAATAGGTTTTCCCTGTGGTGATGGAAGAGTTAGCCACCAATTGTCAGCATGTAGGATCACTTCGGAGACCTCTGGGTATTATGCCTGTGGGGATATCTTATTTTAAGCCATGAGAGAAGACCCATCTAAATTGTGGGTGGGGTATCCCCTGGGCAGCAGACCCTGGGTATCGTGGAGACACAAGCTGAGTATTTGCATTCATCCCTCGGTTTCCTGACTGTGGATAAGATATGACCAGCTGCTTCTGGCTCCAATCACTTGGATTTCCCTGCCCCGACAGCCTGCACCTTAAACTCTGAGTTAAAACACACCCTTTCTCCCCTAAACTGTGCTTGTCAGATTATTTTATCACAGCAATTGGCAAAGAAACTCAGACACCCAACAAGTGTGGCCCAAGGCTCCTGCCCTGAACAGCTGCAGTGAGTACCAGGTGTAGACACTGAAGCTGTGGTTGGTGAGGTGGGTACAGACTGCCTGATGGTGGGGCCTCTGCTCCAGTTCCATAGCTGCATCCCAATAGTCCGGCTATACATCTGGGAGCTGCTGATGCCCCACAACCCTGGCCTTTCCTTGTCCCACAAAGTATTAATGAACAGAGCCTGAGGACAACAGCAACACCAAGCTTGGCTTTTTTTATTTTTTTAAGACAGGGTCTCTCCCTGGTTGTCCTGGAACTTACTCTGTGGACCAAGCTAGCCTTGAACTCACACAGGTCCACCTGTATCTGCCTCCAGAGTGCTGGGATTAAAGAAGCCAGCCTGAGTGAGGCTTCTAGGACATCTTACACAAGGCTGGTCCCTCCCTGTGATGTGCTGGAAACAGACTCTAAGGGGTTAGAAGCAGCTGGATGGGCTACCACAGAAAAAGAGGAGTCTTCCCACCAGGTGGAGAATTCTGGGGTGCAGAGGGAAGAATCACAAGAGAAAACTCCTCCCAGGAACACAGAAGCTCCTGCTGCAGCCTGGGAAACCTTGCCCCAGGCTCTTCTTTACTGAGCCTGCTTCCATTCTCCTGATGAGCGTAGGTTCCCATCCCTTTGCTAAGTCTAAGACCTCTTGTCTTCCTTGAACCTGGGACCTTTTCCCTTTGCTGAGCCTGGGTCCCTTCCCTTTGGTAAGCTTGGGCCTCACCTATGAAACGGGCTAACATCTTTGTAGAATTGCTTCAAAGACTGAATAAGTCACACAGTTAGTGCTTAGAATAGCCTGGCACATGGGCAACCATCTATAGGCATTAGCATAGACCAAAATAGCTACCCGGAAGAAATCCAGGGGACTGGGAGGACCCCGAATGTCTCAACAGGGAGTGACTCTAGGCATGCTGTTTGTACCCTACACCCACACTACTTCCCATCTCCAATAGCCTGTGGCTATGTACTGCCCACATGTCCGTGCCATGCTGGGGTGGTACCCATCTATTTAGCTGCCATCCTCACATCTGTCATGTTATGGATGTTCAACATTCATCTGTTGAATGGTATCATCATTTTGGGATTCAGAACTCCCAAGCCTACTTGAACCATCCTATCTAGCCACGCCTCCTTGCATTGGAGCACAGTAAATCCTGCCCACCCTTGGGCCACATCTGTCAGGCCCCTCCTCCAAAGCCCTGTGGCCCAGCTCCCCACTCACACAACGCCAGGCTTGCGGCAGGATTTTGAGGTCCAGAAGAACTCCTTCACTACACGTGATGGCAGGGGATAGCGGATGTAGTCCTGGCAGCAGATGCTGTCTTCCACGTTGGCACCATAGGGACCTGGTGGAGGGTGCCCAGGGCACATTAGCTGGAGTACAGAGAGGCCAGCCCCAGCCCTGATCTCAGACTGGCCTATAGGGAAAGGTTCTCTTCCACACCGATGGATATCTTCTCTACCTCATACAGAGATGTCACTAAGGGCCCAGGGTCTACACTGTGGGACAATCAGCTCCAGGAAGTGGATTTAGAATGACTGAGCACCAACAGGCTTCTAAATGGGGTCCTGCACCTCTGAGCCAGAGGGAACCGCAGTGCTCACATTGGGTCAGAGTGTGGACAACAGGTCCAGCTTCCCAGGAGCTTGTTAGCCCTGCTCCAGACCCACCAACCCTCATACTCGCAACACAGAATTAGAACTATCTTCCTCTTCTCTGTGCCCTGATGAGGCAAAAAGAGGAGAGCAAGCATCCATGGTCACAGTGAGTCTGCAGCAGAGTCAGATCAAGGCCCAGACAGATGACAGTCACAGCATAGACCTGGTTAGAGCCCCATTCTGTCCCTGAGTGACTCTAATCATTTATCATCTCCAAGGCTCATGGAAGAATACCAATTCCATAGGATTTAGCTACATCGAGGCTCTCTAGAAGAAACCTGATACTGTGAGCTGCAACTGGTTTATTGTAGTTGCCTCATTCCACTGTGGAGACCCTTCTCCTGCCCAGCCCAAAGCAGGAGTATTGATAGCATGATAGAAAAGAGAAGTCAGAAAAAAAAAGAAAAGAAAAGAAAAGAAAAGAGGGGTCGGGACACTGTATGGACTGCAGGCTCCAGAGCAAGCCTCGGGTGTTGGGATGGCAGGGACAGCTTTCTAAGAGAGTCTCTTCCCCAAATCAAACCTGATACCTTGTGGGCCCTGTATCCATTTCAAGAGCTTCTATGCTTGAGCTGTCTGGGCAGCAGGATCCCCAGGCCTTGCATACAATAATGCCCAAACCAACTGAAGCAGATCCTAAAAGCCAAGCCTCCCTGACTACCCAGTTTATAAATGGGTATACCAGTTTATGAATGGTATTGCCTATTTAAAAGTAATAGTGCTAGCCCAGGGAAGCGCCAGAGCTAGCCTTAGGCCACAAGAGCCAATGGCAGAATCACTCTGGGACTCTTTCCAGACACTCCAGTGTCTATTCTCCTACTCTCATCCTCACCTGCATCCGATGTCTGGAGTGCCACAGCAAGAAGAATGAGAGCCACCAGAAGCCGGATCCGCAGGGTAGACATGCTGTACTATCCTCACCAGACGTCTAATGGCCAGGGGACAGGGAGTCCTGGTACTTAAGCGCTCTCTCCACCCACCGGTTCTGACATCTCTTAGTCATCACCAAGCCTGACATTCATGCCCTGAAAGAAGAAGTCCTACTTCCCCAGATGGGGAACTACTCAGAGGGGACTGCCACTCTTCCAAACTGTGGGTCTCCAGAGACTTGTAAAGTCCCCTCAGTGGTGCTCTCCAGAGGCTGCTTGCCCTATGACCTCAGCCATGTTGTTAGGGGTCTTGGGGAGAAACTTCTCCTGGTGGACATGGGGAGCTGAGCAAAGCCGGCACTGCCCACCTCAGTGACTGTCGGCGCTCGGACAGCACACACTGCATGGAGTTGTGGCCTTCTTCATGACTCAAGGCCGGGCATCCCTGCTCCTTTCAAAGGTGGAGGCCCATGAGCCCTGCGGGTCAGGCTTCTGATCATAATCTGACTTTTCTAGGGCTTTTCAGAAAACTCACCCGGCTCAAAGCGGGCTGCTCCTCAGCTTGCACAGAGTCCGAACCTCCTCAGACTTTCCTCACCCGCCTCATCTCCCCTCCTACCATCCCGCTGACTTACCTGGTTTAGAAACAGCCCCTTGTCCCCAGACCTGTCCACCTCCACCGCCCGCCCACGTGGATACCAGCAGATTCCCCTGCCCACGATGCGGCCAGCCAGAGTGAGTGTGCAGACTCAGAGGGCCTTGTGTCCCTTTCCTACTGGGGCTCCCCATTCACCTGGGGGTCAAACCCAGACTCCAGACTAGGACCTTCAGGGCCACTTATTCAAAACAATTCCCCACAGCCAGAGAGACCACACCACACGACTAACAGTTCCTCAAAGAGGTCTGTGGCCTGACCTGACTAGATTTCCACTTTCTACTTCTCTACTGCAGAAACTCCTACTCAAACGTCAGGAGCTGTTTGAAATGTCACTTGTTTGGTAAGCCCACCTCCTCAGGACTTCATGTTCCCCAAGTAACCTGAAATGTGGCCCAAGAGGAGCCAGAGGAGACTGTCTTATAAGCACAGGAGAGCTGATTCCTTATTGTTCTCAGTATCCAACCTGTTGAGCTGCCTGCTGCTATGTGCTCCAGGTTCCCAGTTTTGTGAGCTGTCCTGGTGCTGGACTAGGCCTTGGTGGTGTAGCTGTCTTTGAATCATTTTTATTCCCATAAGAAACCCCTCATCCATATTCCTGCAAGTAACCCCCCAAACACTTATTGTTCACCAAGATTGACCTTCATAGTACCCATACTTTAGTCTGTCTATGGACTCTATCTGGAGTGAGCAGTTGTGTATGTTGCATCTCCTCATGAAAAGTCTTGTCACATAACATTCAGCAAAATGAGTGGCAGCCACAGCTGCAAACATCTGGGCATGCCTAATGCTGCTGAAAGTACTTCACATGGTTTGAAACACCAAGTACATGTTGTGTGTTGCATATCAGAAATGTGGCCCTCTCCAAGTAAACCAAGCTTTCAGCACTAATTTTTGGTTAGAGAAAGTACAGCGTTGGATGTGATAGCTCACACTTGTATTCTCAGCTGCTGGGGAGGCTGAAGAAAAGGGTTGCTTAGGCCATGAGTTCAAAACCATCTGGGCAGTCTAGTGAGACCTAGTATTTAACAAAACAACAACAAAAACTGAGAGAAAAATAAGTTATCCCACAAAAGCAATTTGCCAATCCCTAAAGGACTTCAGACCTTCAATCAGCTGCCCCAGATTTCAGTGTGTGTGTGTGTGTGTATGCGCGTGCGCGCGCGCGCGCATACACATAAATATATGCTTCAAAAATTAGGGCTGGTCATGGTGGCCTATACCTGTAATTCTAGCACTCAGAAGACTAAGGCAGGAGGACCCCTGTGAGATTGAGTCCAGTAATGACCCTATAGTACAAAGCTGGGGTTGTGGATATGATTTAGTGGACAAAGTGGCTGTGGTGCATGTGTGAAGACCTGACTTTTGGTTCCCCAGACACACAGTGGGCAGACACATGACTGCAACCCAGTGCTCCATGATGAGCTGGGAAGTGGAGCCAGGAGGATCCCTGGAAGCTAACCTGACTCACGAAGTGATGAGCAAGAAACCAACGCCCCATATCAACTTCTAACAAAGACCTTCAGAAGCCGGGTATGGTGACTCACTGACAATCTCAATATCTGGGTGTTAGACAAAAGGGCAGTCAGGAGTTTGAAGCCAGCCTGGGCTATACAGTGAACTCTATATAAGCATGGACTAGATTTAGATCCTGACTCAAAAAATAAAACAAAACCAAAGACCTTCTAGAAATAATTGGGGAAATTTGAATACAGATTGGTATTAGATGCTATCGTATCTTAAAGTAGATTTTCTTCATGCATTGAAGACTTCAAGGTGTGTAAGAGATGCTCTTGTTCCTAAAGGAGGTACATTGAGGTATTGAGGAGTGCGAATCATAATTTCAGAGTTGGGGAAAAACATGTGGCAAATGTAATTTGTGCACGTGACACCCTTGGCTGTGGTATCAAATGCATACTATGTGCATAGATTGATATACAGAGAGTATTGTGTATGTGCTTTATTGACATAGATGCATTGTAAGGTACATATATGCATAAGACGCATATGTGGATGTGTGTCTAGAGGGCAAACAGAGCCTAAATGGTAAGATGAAGTTGCTAAAAATAGTTGCTAAAAAGGGACTTGGTCACTTGCTGAACTAATCTAACAGCACACTTGACCATTGAACATGTATCTGATTGAGTCTGGTGATATGCTCCTGTAGTCCCAGCACTTAGGATGCTGAGGCAGAAGGATCAAGAGTTTGAAGATAGCTTGGGATACATAGTAAGACCAGGTCTCAAAAGTGAAAAAACACAAAGCTGTCTTATGTCTTTGCTTTGAGGCAGGGTCTTGCTGTGAAGCCGGGCTGGCCTCTAGCTTGCAGCCACTCTCCTGCCTCTGTCTCCCGGGTGCTGGGATTACAGGTATGTATCACCATGGTTCACACCAAAAACAAATGTTTGTGTGTGTATAGTAGAATCTCATTATATTGTCTAAACTGATCTCAAACTTCTGAATTCAAGTGGTCTTCTTGCCTCAGCTAAGAAATATTTCTTTAAAAGACTTTCTTATTTATTTATAATTATTGGGAATATGAGGGCAGGATCTATGCTTCCATGACTAGAATTAATCTCTAGTCATCAAATTTGAGAGCAAGCACCTCTGCTCTCTGAGCCATATCACCGGCCCAAGAATTATTTTTTTGCATGTGAAACTTCTTTATCATAAGAGCACTGTAAGTAAGTAATGCTGGGGCTTTCTACAGGGCCTCTTAGGGCCCAGGACCCTCCATGGTGGCCTGGGGGTCTCCCCCTGGAGAACACCTGGGTCCCCAGGGACTTGGCAGGCCCCAGGGCTCTCATCCTGGCCCAGCCTGTGGGCTTAGTGCTGGCCTTACCCACCAACTGCCTGCCCTGGGCACACCTGCACTACCAGGGTTCTTGGCCTCCCTGACTGGAGGAGGGGCGGATATGGAGTTAAAGGAGCCCGGACACCCAGTCAGAGCACAGGGCATGGGGATGAGCTTTCAAGAGAAGGACGAGGAATACTTGGGGCTGCATTGGTGAAGCTCTGGGACGTACAATGGCAGTAAGGATAGGGTGGGGCTCTGATGATCAAGGGGCTGATCTTTCCTCCTCCTGGCGGCCACACTGTCTCACTTTGTACCTTGCAAGGTGTAGAATATCCTAAACAATCCTCTTGTCTCAAACTCCCTTTTTTGCTTTGTTTAAAACAATGTTTGTTTTGGAGAAAGGGTCTCCCTATGGAGACAGCTGGCCTGTGTAGACTAGTCACTATGTAGATGAAGCTGACCTCAAACTTGCATTGATTCTCCTATTTCTGCTCCCAGAGTATTGGGTTTATAATCATGTGCCGCCATTCCAAGCTCTAAATTAATTTTTATCCATTAAAAACATAAAGCAGGAGTGGGGTGTGGTGGCATACACCTTTAACCCCAGAACAGGAGAGACAACAACAGGAGGATATTTGTGACTTTGAGGCCAATCTGATCTACATAGTAATTTCCAGGACAGCAAGGGATATCCTGTCTAATGACATCAAAACCATAAGGCAGAACCCGGTGGAATGTACCTCTCATCCCAGGTGCTTAGGAGGCTGGGGCAGGAGGATTGCTTGAAGCCTGGGAGCTAAGGATCTGCCTGGGCATCTAGCAAAACTCCAGAGAGATGGGGGAGAAGGAGTTGGGAGATAACTTAGCAAAGTGCTTGCTGAACAAACAGGAAAACCCAAGTTCAGCTCCCTAATACCCTAGTAGAGAGCCAGAGACTGGGGATGTAGAAACAGGAGGCTCCTTGGGGCTTGCTGGCCAGCAAGCCAATCTAGTGAAAGCCATAAACTCCAGGTTCAGTGATAGACCTTAACTCAAAAACTAAGTGAGGGCTAGAGAGATGATGGCTCAGCTGTTAAAAGTGCAAGCTCTCTTACAGAGGATCTGAGTTCAGCTCCCAGCATTCACATCAGGCAGCTCACAGCCACATGTACCTCCAGGTCAAGGAGATCAGATGCCCTCTTCTGGCCTTTTGAGGAACTGCACACATATGCACCTACCCACACATAGATACACAGAGAGACAGAGAGACAGAGAGACAGAGAGACAGAGAGAGAGAGAGAGAGAGAGAGAGAGAGAGAATTTAAAAAATAAAAATTATGGGGGGCTGGAGAGATGGCTCAGAGGTTAAGAGCTTCAATTCCCAGCAACCACATGGTGGCTCCTCACAACCATCTGTTATGAGATCTGGTGCCCTCTTCTGGTGTGCAGATACACATGGAAGCAGAATGTTGTATACATAATAAATAAATAAATAATAAAATCTTTAAAAATAAAAATTACAGCCAAGCATTGGTGGCACATTCCTTTAATCCCAGCACTCAGGAGGCAGAGGCAGGTGGGGCCAGCCTGATCTACAAAGTGAGT